AGAATTCTCATCCGTCTTGAAGTAGGGGAGAGAGAAAATCAACAAGTAAGTGCACAGGGCAATTCCTGGTAGTGGTAAGCACCGTAAAGCATAAAAGTGGGTGAGGCGATGGAAGGTGCCTTCAGTTGGGAAGGGCCCTCTGAGGACGGTGAAAGGTAGAAGGACTAAGCCATGGAGCGGTCTGGGGGAAGACCATTCTAGGCGAAGGGACTGCAAGTTCAAAGGCTCGGAGGTGGGAACTCGCCTGGCCATTGGAGAACCATTTGAGGAACAGAAAGGGATCAGCGTGGCCTGAACCCAGAGCTGAGGAGAGTAGGTCAAGGCCCAGAGGGGCAGCGGGTGGGGGGCAGGTATCTCCACCTCCCTCCATCCTTCAGGCAGAAGCTCAGAGCACCCTCTGAACCGAAAGCACTCTCTGCTTCTCATGTGGGACAGCCTCCTTCGAGGGGAATTTGGCTAAATTCAGAATTTAAAACACACTTTTTGTTTGACCCAGTAGGAATTTCTTCTATGGATAGACTTGTGGACGGGTGTGAAGATACCAGTTTGCAGGCAGTCACTGCAGTAGCAAAAGTCTGGAAATAACCTCAACACCCTTCCATAGGGAACTGGCCAAATAATTACAGAGCATCACTCAACACAGCACCCTGTAGCAGTGGAAAAGAAATCTATGTACCTATCTATATACAAAGTTACTTAAAGGTAGGTAATGACCTTCTTAAATGTACTGAGTAAAAATAAAGGACAAGATGAAGTATGTTACTGTTTGTGCAAAAATAAAACAAATACATGAATGTATAATATATTATACAATACTGAAAATAGCCAACACAATGCTGAAGGAGAAAAACGAAGTCAGAGGACTGATGCTACCTGACTTCAAGACTTACTGTAGAGCTACACTAATCAATACAGCGTGGTATCGACCAAGGAATAAGCGAATCGATGGAACAGAATAGAGAGCCCAAAAATAGATCCACATAGATATAGTCAACTGACGTTCGACAAAGGAGCAAAGGCAGTACAATGGAGAAAAGACAGCCTTTCCAATGAATAATGCTGGCAAGACCGAACATCCAGATGTAAGAAAAACAGAAAAGAAAAAAGAAAAAAATCTAGACACAGACCTCACACCTTTCACAAAAATGAACTCTGAATAGATCATAGACCAAAATGTAAAACGTGAAATTATAAAACTCCTAGAAAATAACACAGGAGAAAATCTAGATGTTCCTGAATACAGAGATTAGATACATCAAAGGCATGATACATGAAAGAAAGAATGGACAGCTGGACTTTGTTATAATTAAAAACTGCTCTGTGAAAGATACTGTCAAGAGAATGAGAAAATGAGCCACAGACTGGGAGGAAATATTTGCAAAAGACATAACTGAAAAAGGACTGGTAACCAAAATACACAGAGAACTCCTAAAACTGAACAAGAAAACACATAACTCCATTAAGAGGCAAAAGACCTGAATAGACACCTCATCAAAGAAAATATACGAATGGCAAATAAACATATGAAAAGATGCCCAACATCATAATGTCATTAAGGAACTGCAAATTAAAATGAGATACCGTTACATCCCTCATAGAATGGCCAAAATCCCAAACGTCCACACCACCAGATGCTGGTGACGGAATGTGAAATGGTATAGTTACTTTGGAAGACAGTGTGGCGGATTCTTACATAAGTAAACACACTCTTACCACATGACCCAGCAATCATGCTTTTTGGTATTTATCTAAATGAGTTGAAAATGTATGTCCAGAGAAAAACCTGCACTTGGATGTTTACAGCAGATTGATTCATAATTGCTCAAATTTGGAAGCAACCACGATGGCCTTCAGTCGGTGAATGGATAAACTGTGGTCCATGTAGACCATGAAACATTATTCAGTGCTGAAAAAAAAAATGAGCTACCAAACCACGAAAAGACGTGGGGGAACCTAAGATGCTTATTACCAAGTGAAAGAAGCCAGCCTGAAAAGGCTACATACTGCGAAGACAGTAAAAAGATCGGTGGTTACATGGGGCTAGGGAGGTGGAAGGGATGAACGGGCAGAGCACAGGATTTTCGGGGCAGTGAAACTATTCTGCATGCTACTATAATGGTGGATACACGTCATTATACACAGCAGACTATATGACAGCCTGTACAACTCCAAGAGTGAGCCCTAATGTAAACCATGGACTTCAGAGATAATGACATGTCAATGTGATGTCGCTGATTGTAACGAATGTCCCACCCTGCTCCTGGGGTGTTGATAGTGGCAGAGGCTCTGTGTGTGTGTGTGTGTGTGTGTGTGGCGGGGGAGTTGAGCAGAGAATATATAGGACAGCTCTGTACTTTCAGCTCAATTTTGCTATGAACCTAAGACTGCTCTAAAAATATATTTAAAATGGTTAAAATGCTAAAGTTTACATTATGTATATTTTACTTCCATTAAAAAAAAATAAATAAAAGGAATGCTCATAGCAGCTTCGTTCATGACATCTCCAAACCGGAAGCAATGAAAATGCCCATCAGCTGCAGCATGACTCTGCGAGCGGCGGAAAGGTGCCCCCGCGGAAGACAACGGAGCCAGGAGAAGGAACGACCGCTGCTCACAGTGCCACAGGTGGATCCCGAGAACATGGTCCTGAGCGAGAGCGGCAAGCAGCACACAAAACAGTGATACCATCCGCTTTTGTCTGTATGCGAAGAGGCAGACAGATCTTTGCTCTTTGGACCCTTAGGACATGGGTAGTGGCTGAGAAGGGAGGCTGAAGTGTTCTATTTTGGATCTGTTTTGGTGTTGGTTACCTGGGTGTCCAGTTTGCGAAAATTCACCAAACTGTACACTTATGATTTGTACACGCATGCCACTCTGGAACCAGACAGAAGGATGGGTGCTCCAGTTCTCACTGGGTTTACAGCCTTAGGCCCCTGAACTTCATGGAGCCTCAGTTTCCTCATCTGTAAAATGGAGATAATGGAAATACCTCATGCATTCAACAAAAATATGTCATTGCTGGCTGGCAGGCACATTGATGATTTGATGCTTACTATTAATATTCTTCTTGCTGTTCTTTGCTTTGGTGACCGAACCCGGGTAGAGGCAAGGACACTGTCTCCAGAGAGGAGAGGGGCAGTGGGGAGGGCCAGTCTAAGCTGACAAGCAACACATGCTCACCTTGCAAACTGCCCCAAAGGGAGAAACCTGACCAGGTGAGCTGGGGAGAGGCTGCAGAGCTGGCCTGCCCTGGGCCTCCTGGGGGAGGAAGGGACCTCCAGCTGTGGAAATGGATCCTTTCCTGGAGAGCAGGGCCCTTCACTATCGTGGGCAATCAAGACGCCCGTGAAACTTTAGACGGCTTATCAAGCTACACAGCTCTGGGCCGGGAGCTGGGTCCTTGAGGAGGAAGCGGCCCCCAAAGACCATTCTCCTCAAGGAAGCCTGGGCGCTTCGGAAGGCTGGGGCTGGGCGCAGGGTCTCAGTGGCCCAGTGACCTTGATCTCATGCCGGGACAGAACTCCCATGAGACCTGGCTGCACCTTTATGAACAGCCCGGCAGAGGCAGACTTGGGCTACGAGCTGTGTGACCTTGGGTGGGTCACTCAACCTCCCTCTGACCCTCATTTTCCACATCTGTCAAATGGGGATATTTCATAGGGTTTGTTGCGAGGGTCTGCCCAGGGGTCTGGCCCCAGTACAGCCCTAGTCCCACCCCCCACAGCTCGCCCTCCCACACGCTGTGCCCATTGCAGAGCCTCTGCCTTTCGGTGGCCCTGCCAGATCCTGCTGTAGCAGTCAGGGCTTAGCTGGGATGTTGTCACCCTTTGGAGGGCTTCCCTGGCCACCTGTCTAAAGAGGCCCCTCCAGCCACTCACCACCCCATCACCCACTTCGTCTCCTAGCACTCACAACCGGAGGAAATAACTTGATCATGTCATCGTTTCTTTGCTCACTCCGGTCTCCCTACACTTGACTGAGACCTTCAGAAGGGCAGAGACCTTGTCTGTCACTCAAAACACACTTCCACATGCACGCCTCACACACGTATACACTCATAGTCATCAACACTCAGGAGGCTCTGACAGTGTGTGCCCGGCCAGTGTGAAAACCAATGAGGCTGTTGGTGTAGGCTCTGCCTAGAAAGCAAGGGCCCTCTCCTGGCCCCCAAAGTACTGAGGAGAGGCACCTTGGCTCCCCAAATGTGCTGATGGAGACAGCTGGGGAGGATGGCCCAGAATGTGAAAGTCTCCCATCTCCTTTCTGGGCCCTGGGGCTTCAGTAGGAGCAAAGGCTGGGCCTCCGAGCTCAGGGTGCCATAGAGAAGGAAACAGAGCTGTGCTGCCTGTGTGAGCGTGAGCAGGAGTTGACTGTGGGTGAGTATATGTGTGAGGGTGTGCATGAGTGTGAGCATGTGATACCGGGTGTGCAAATGAGTGTGCAACCGTGCCTGTATGTGGAATGTGTATGAGTGAGGGTGTGTGTATGTGTTGATAGCACGTGTGGGTGTGTAAATATGTTAGCATATAAGAATATGCTGGAGTACGTGTGTGTATGAACCTATATATACACATAGGGGAAAGGAAACAGACTTATCAAGAAAATGCCAGCAAGCACAAAGGGAAAATTCCAATTCCCTCATAATCCCACCCTCACCGCTGAACTGTGGTGAACAGGGAACTCAAGAGGTCAGACTGCTGGGTTCAAAACCCCATATTTGTTCCTTACTGACGAGTGCCACTGCACTTCTGAGCCTCAGTTTCCCCATCTGTAACATGGTGTGATAGCAGTACTTAGCTCAAAGGTTTGCTGTAGGGATGAAAAAATAGGTGAGTGACAGACCCACAGGTCCCAGTAGAAAGGAGGCTCAGTCAACAGGAGTTGTTATTTGTAGTTACCTGTTTATCTGGATAAGGGTTGGTCTTGAAGCCCCAGGCTCCCTCCCCACTCCTATCCCTGAGCCGTGGAGGGAATTCTAGGGCAGGGGTCAGGGGTCTGTTTTAGGGACCACGACTTCCTTCCCTGCACTACGCCTTAGTTCTCCCATCTCAGTAACAGGGTTGCCTTCCATGCTTCTTCACCGGCTCTGCAGGCCTGGGAGGTGCGTGGCGGACCACGATGGGGTCCCCAAGGAAGGGGATGCGAGTGCAGAGACGTGTTTCTCCGAGGTTGGGGCGCACGCTGAGTAAGGCAAACCTACCCACCCCGCACTGCGGCTGCGCAGAACTCGAACCTGTTTGTGCGGGGGTGTGGCCGTGGACAGACCACGCCCCGTTCCCCGCCCACATCTGAATACTTCGGAATCGCCGCCGGAAGTCGCGCCGATCGGAGCGTTTTCGTGGACACTCACCGGGACAATCAGCGAATCCTGAGACCGCGGCGGTGGCAACAGGAGAGCGGGGCAGGGACCTGGGAATAATGCTACACGCAAACTCAGACGCACGGAGCTGGATGGTTCATGGCAGTTGGAGGAAACGAGATGGGATCCCAGAGCGCTTTTCACTCGTGAAAAGGACACTTTGTGGGGGTGGCAGGTCCTTCAAAAGCTCCGAGCAGAAAAGTAAGGCGGCAGAAGGTCTTGGGGTTCCGAGCCCCTGCCTCTGCCACTGTGAAGGTGTGACTCAGTTCACCTGGCCGTAAAGCAGGCCGATTAATCCCCGCCTCGCGGACGGGACACTTGAGGCGGGAGAGAACGCCCGACTCTGGCCCGGGAGCGTCTTTCTGCACCGCAGACTGTTTTCTGGGGCAGAGTCTTCGTTCCTGTCTGCGCTTGGACATTTAAAGCGGACCCTTCGCAGCTGGTTCCCGCCCCCTCGGAGGGGGCGTACCCGGAAGTGCTCTTACGGAAGCCGGCGGGCCGCGCGCGCGCCACTTCGCCATGGCGACAGCCGGGGCCCCGCGGCGCTTCTGCCGCTGCGCCTGCTTCTGCTCGGAGAACTTGTACGTGGCGCGCTACGGGCTGCACGTGCGCTTCCGGGGCGAGCAGCAGCTGCGCCAGGACTACGGCCCGGTGGGTGGCCGCTGTCGGCTCCGCGGGGAAATGGGCGGGGAGGCAGCTTTGTCCCGATGGCGTTTGCTTTGGCCGCACGGCGTGCTCCGATCTGACCACAAGAATGACTTCACCTCTCGGTGCCTCAGTTTCCTCACCTTAAATGGGGATAACAGTATCGCTTTCGTGAGGCTGTCGTGAGAGACGAATGAACTAACACATATGTAAAGTGCTTGGGGCTGGGCCTGGCTCTGGGAGCCCTGTCGGTGTTGTGACAGCAGCTGGGAACCCTGCTCTGCGCCTAACGCGTTTATCGCATTTCATCTTCAATGATCCTGTCGAGGTCGGGGCTCCCATCTCCATTTCAGGAGGGGAAACAGGCTCAGAGATGTTAAGTGACTTGCCCAGGGTCACAAAGTCATGCGCACTCCCCGTTTTGCTCCCAGATTCTGCGCAGCCGAGGCTGCGTCAGTCCCAAGGACTTCCAGCAGCTGTTGGAAGAGGTAACGCTCCCCGCCCTCCACCACCCTCCACACACCCAGCCCAGACTTTCCTTTTGAGATTTGTGTCAGCAGTGTGAGGGCTCTCCCAGCCTCAGACCTTCCAGTCTCATCCCCAAAGGGCTCCCTGAACCCTTCCTTCTCCTTCCTGTTCCCACTCACCACAGCACTTGGGTCCTGGGTGCCCCCCCCCCAAAGAGAAAAAGAAATGCCAATTTGTCTACTTTGTGCCGAGGAGAAACTTGGGCTCAAAGAGGGGAGTCACTTGCCCAAGGTTTCACAGCAGCTGGGCTTTGCGGTCCCAGCCAGGGCTGCCAGGCTCCTGGCTTTCCCAACCCTGACCCCCATATATCGCTTCTGCTGGTGCCAGGCTGCTGCTGGTCTCCCCCAACCTCCCTCATCTGAGGGGTAGTGGCAGAAAGCTTCCCAGGAGAGCCCTCTGCAGCCTCTGGAACACAAGACTTGGCTGGGAATCCGTTCCCCTCCCTGAGTGGCCCCAGCTGGCAGAGGTGCATCTAAGGGGCTCTCATACCAGCCAGGTTCAGGCTGGTACAGCCCAGAGTACCAGAGTGGGATGGGCCCCCTTCTAGAGTCACATTCAGCTGTCAGCTTGGCACCTGCAGTCGACCTTGCCAAAGTCGGAAGCATAGGGAGACTTCGCTCCAAGCCTGGGCCCTGCTCTGGGCTTCCTGAGCCTCAGTTTCCTCATCTGTACAATGGCCTTGGGGGGGATGGGAGGCCCTGTCCTGGTCACCAGCCCTGTGCCACCCCAGCTTAAGCAGGAAGTGGAGCGGCGGCAGCGGCTGGGGCAGGACTCGGCTGCCAGGAAAACCCTCATCGCCAGCTCCTACCACCCAGCACGGCCCGAACTCTACAGCCCACTGCAGGTACCCGGCAGGGGCAGGTCACTGGGAGCGGGATGTGTCCAGGCCGGGCTGCCTGCCCCACAGCTGTGTATTCTGACCCCAGGATGTGGCTCTGGCCCCCGAGTTTCTGGCTGCAGCTGAGTACAGCACATCGCCAGGCGCAAACCTCGAGGGCTTACTCCAGCGGCTAGAGACAGTGTCAGGTGAGGTCTTGGCCCCATGACCTGGCAGGATTAGGGGGTGGAAGGCTGGGGTCCCTCTGCCCATCACGTCTGCCTCCAGACACCAAACCAGCAGGAGCTAGAAGGGACAGGAGCAGGGCATCTATGCTCATTCACTCGCTCACCTCGTTATTCAGTGCCTCGTTTCAGGCACGAGTCAGTCGGGGAAGACTGACTGATGGAAAGTGGAGACAGGTGTGGGCTGGGTTATGCGATCAGCAAGGGATGGGATGGCGAAGGGGCCCCCACCGGGGGCTAGCGATGGGAGGGAGCAGTTCTCATCCCTAGACCTGAAGGAGTGGGCAACAGTGAAGTTTCTTGAAGCAGAAATGACCTGGAGCCGTGGGAGAGGGGCTGCCAGACCACCGCTGTGGCCGAGCAGAGGCACATGGCCACACCACACTCCGAAATGCTCTCCTCCTGCCTGGGTCTCCCACTGGCTAAACGCAGTGGGAAGTCCCAGGCCAGGGAGGGAGGCCTTGCGGGTTCCTTGATCTGTCTGTGAAATGGAATTGATAAGAACCACCCAACTCAAACGCTGTGATGGCCCAGTGCGAGGAGATGCACGTAGAAGGCTCGGGCCGCAGGAAGTGTCTGCGAAGTGTTTCCTGTGGTTACTGTCATCCTGGGTCTGGGGGGTTACTGCGGGGAAGCGCACGAAAGCTGCTCCCCTCATGGAACCCTGTACCCTTTTGGGGCACAGAGTGGGATGTGGAATGAAACTCCCTCCCAGCTTCAGCGGGGGACACTCATTGCCATCTACTCTATAGCAATTGAGGTTGTGCAGAGACCGTGTGAGTTGGCAAAAAGTTTGTGCGGGGGGTGGGGTGGGGGACACATGAGCCCTGTACCTTGGGGGCATGGGTGGTGCATCTGCCAAGAAACGTTCCCATTTCCTCACTGGGGCCTTCCTGTGTGGGAAACAGACATCTGAGTTGGGGTACAGACTCCAGTGGCTCATCAGGAGAGGGGTACGGAGGGCACCTGAGGCTGGCCTGCTGGGTGTCCCCATCTGGGCCTCATCAGGAGGCACGGAGTCTGGAGGCCAGGCCTGGGGGCGTGGTGGAGAGTGGGGGAGCGGCTATGGGGGAGCGCAGCAGTATGAGAACAGGCCCGCCCGCTGCACACACGACGCAGATGGATTGGTCATCACAATAGCCCTGAGGGGGGGGAGTGCCTCTGTTATCCCCTGTCCAGATGAGGAAACCGAGGCTGTGGGACGTGAAAGACGTGCCCAGGCTCACACGACTCGTGGGGAGACCGAAACCCACTCCGGCGCTCCTGGCCGACACTGTCCGTCCCTCTGCAGAGGAGAAGCGGATCTACCGGCTGCCGGTGTTCACAGCGCCGTTCTGCCAGGCCCTGCTGCAGGAGCTGGAGCACTTCGAGCAGTCGGACATGCCAAAGGGAAGGCCCAACACCATGAACAACTACGGGGTGGGTGACGTGCCACGCAGTGGCCTGGGAGGCGGGGCGGTTGGGTCTGGGGAGGCTGGCCTGCAGCACCCTGGGCGAGCTGTGTGGCCCTCTCCTGCCTTGGTCTCCCCGCGTGTAAAATGAGGTCATGGAAGGGCTGTTCTGAAGTTAAACAAGCAAGGCGCTCCCCCAGGGACCCGGGGTGAGGCCCCACCAGCTTCCCTGCCGACCCCAGGATCCCCCTGCAGGTGCTGCTCCATGAGCTGGGCCTGGACGAGCCGCTGGTGACACCGCTGCGGGAGCGCTTTCTGCAGCCCTTGATGGCCCTGCTGTACCCGGACTGTGGCGGGGGCTGGCTCGACAGCCACCGCGCCTTCGTGGTCAAGTACGCGCCGGGCCAGGACCGCGAGCTGGGCTGCCACTACGACAACGCCGAGCTGACCATCAACGTGGCCTTGGGCAAGGCCTTCATGGGGGGCGCCCTTTACTTCGGAGGCCTCTTCCAGGTTAGCGTGTGTGACCCGTGGGGAAGGGCCCGGGGCGGCTGGGAGAGCCGGGGCCTGAGCCCAGCTGTCTGCAGGCGCCTTCCGCCCTGACCAGGCCCCTGGAGGTGGTGCATGTGGTGGGCCAAGGGGTCCTGCACCGCGGCGGCCAGCTGCATGGGGCCCGGCCCCTGGGCACCGGTGAACGCTGGAACCTGGTCATCTGGCTTCGGGCCTCTGCTGTGCGCAACCGCCTCTGCCCCATGTGCTGCCGCACGCCCGACCTGGTGGACGACGAGGGCTTCGGCGACGGCTTCACCCGAGAGGAGCCCACCACAGTGGACCTGTGTGCGCTGACTTGAGCCTGGTTGGGGCCCGTGTCGGGGATGGCATGACAGCGGAGGGCTCTGCCACCTTAGGTCGGGCAGAGCAGAAATAAACTCTCTGCAGCCCTTGGCACTTCTTGGTTCAAAAGGACAAATAGTCTTCTGGGTCATTCTTTCAGCGGTCAGGCTGGCTCAGGTCGGGTTGGTTAGAAGCTTAGGTGGGGATTCCTGTGTGAGGTTTATCGAGGGAATATCCTGAGGAGGAGGAAGCCAGGGAAGCAGGACAGGGCAGGAAGGAGCTGGGTCCGGAAGTGGATTCAGAAGGCGTCTAGTCAGCCTGATCCCGCGGGAGGTCAGGAGCATGAGTCTACCAGTTACTGGGGCGGGGGGCGGCAGGGGGTAAATAACTTCCCAGGCATCCATCTCCAGGACAAGTGGCTCCCAGTGGCCAAGGGAATCTTCCAGAGAAATGTACATGTGAGAGCTGTCATCAGTGGACGCCACAGCTGTGGGTGAGTGCCCGTCTATGAAGGGGATTTGGGTGGGCCACCAACAGCATATTCTAGACGGTGTCGAGGGGCTACTGCCGACGGGTTAAGAGCAGGTGCTCCGGGGCCGGACTGCCTAGGTTCAATGCTGACTTCTGCCGCTGCTCCCTCTGTGTCTGCGTAAGCCACTTGACCGCTTCGTGCCTTGGTTTCCTCACTGAGAAGGGACCTCTGTCAGAGCCGTTGTGAGAACCAAATGCTATACAAAGTCTATAAAGTGCTTTATAACAGCTGAGTTTCCTGCTGTCGTTATTGAAGAGTTTGCAATTTGGTGGCCCCGAACTTGGGCGAGGAGTGTTTGAAAACCAGGGACTCCAGCTTCCCTGGGAAGGTGCAAAGATCCGGAAACACCTGCCATCAGCTGTCCTTTCTAGACAGATGTGCAGTGCACTCCCTCGGGAGTTCCTCCCTCATTCACTGACGGGATCTCTCTAGCCCCTTATAGACATTTGAGTGTGCGACCTCCGTATTACTGAGTGGGGACGTTGGAAAGACCAGGGCGTCTCAACTCTGGGATCACAGCTTGATGCGAGCGGACAGGTCCGCAGACACCTCAGGGAGGGAAAAGCGGCGCGCAGTGGGGTCTCCTTCCCTGGGCCGTCAGGATGCCGGGTGCTGGAGGCGCACTGCAGGGGCAAACTTGGAAGAGGGCACAGCTACGGCAAAGGGCCTGCGATCTCGGGGGCGGGGTGGGGGGTGCTGGCGCCCCTTTGTCGGCCGGGAGCTGCGGCCGCAGGCACGCCCTCGCACCGGTCTGGAGGCGGAACCTGGATCCCCAGCCCGCCTCTTCGGGAGGGGGGCGCGCCGTTTCTGGCTGCACCACAGGCGGAACCTGGGGCTTCAGAACTAAAGGCAGCAGCGCCTCTCTTGGCAGCCGGACGGCCTTCCGGAGCGCCGCCCCGGGCCGGAAGTCACCTCGCCTCAGCTTCCTCGCGCGAAAGCGTGGTGCGGGGCGGGCGGTCCCGCCCGGTGGGCGGTTGAGGGAACGGACCAGTCCCAGGGACCTTCCTTAAGGAGGCGAGGCCGCGGAGGGCGCGGGGGTGGAGGGTAGGAGCGCGCGGGAAGGGACCCCGACGCGCCCGGCAGCTGAGCATCGCGGCCGTTCCTTGGGGCGCGGGAGCCGCGTGCGCAGGCGGGGCGCGTCCCTGAGGGGGCGCGTCCTTAAAGGGGCCGCAGCGGAGGACCCCGGAGTCAGAGAACCCCGGGTCCCCGGAGTTGGGGGTGGGTGAGGACCTCCCCCCAACGCAGTCCCGCATATCCCAGCCCCGGGCAGGAATGGGCACTGGGCCCCTTAGGACCTTGGAGCCCAGTCTGCGGGCCCGCCCGAGAGCGTCCGCTTGAGCGCGTGTCCCCTTCCCCAGCCCGCGGCGCGATGGCTCACGTCGGCTCTCGCAAGCGCTCGAGGAGTCGCAGCCGGTCCCGGGGGCGAGGGTCGGAAAAGAGAAGGAAGAAAAGCAGTAAGGACGCTACGAAGAGCTGCTCGGCTTCTAGATCCCAAGGCCGCAAGGCCAGCACCACCACCTCCGGGGCGGAGGGTGAGGACCAGAGGGAATGGGGAAGGGGCGCGGAAACTTCACGGA